TGGGGAAACCACTCTGGAACAGTGGAATGCACCGGTTCTTTCCCAGCTGATAAACAAAATGGTAATTGACCATACGTTCCAGTGTTTTACAAAGGCAGCGTCGAAAGGCAATCAGGGAATAGTTGAGAGGGTTCTTTGGATCTTTTCAAGTTTTATAAGATGGTGTATCACTATGGCTTCTTGCCATTAACTAGGATGCACCTGCTCCCTCCAAATTTAGTTGAATAGATAAAGAAGACTTATTAATGAATCCTCGTTCAAATGGCGAAGCAATTCATAGGATATTCCATCAAGACCTGGACTAATATTGTGGGCCAATAACAAGGCCCTCTTCAATTCCCACATGTCAAAGTCACAGTTGTATGGTAGAGGCTGTCGACACTTGTGTGAAGTTGATAGGTGTCCGCTCTAAATTGTTCTTAATCGCCAGAAACGCAGTACTATAGGAATCAGAGCAGGACACACTAGCAAATATTCGACCAATCAAGTTGGCTACATCATCAGGTCACGAATAAATACCAGATGATGTTTCCAATATCGGAATGGTAAAGTCCTGATAGAGGTCATTTGTTGCTTTTAAGTTTATCTACAAATATTGACTTGTAATTGACGATGTGATTGATGACACATACTGGATCCAAGATTCTCTCTGACTTGGACATCGTACTTTACGAGGTAACGCTTTTGCACGTTTAAACTCTAAGTCTTTCAGTGGTGGTGTTCCTCCTGAAAATGCTCTACGCTCTCCTTAGGGCCTTTTTCTCTTGTGGGCAGGCAGAATTCGACAGTTGCACAGTTTCCGAGTAGAATTTGGTGTTTTTCGAATTGCTGCAGTTGAAAAGCTTCAAAAAACGGCAGAATCAACCGCCCTGTTCTGAACCATTGTGCCGGTTGTAACCGCTAGCCGTGTGAATTTATCCAAGGCTGCGCGATTAAAATGATGAATGAGAGGACGAAGTCATGCCCCGCACCATTTACATTCGAGACTACAAAAAGGAAATGATCAATGTTATGTACATCTTTTTCAACCTCAAAATTTACAAATTTCTATCAAAGAAGTGGAATGTCCTCGTGGGTGCATGAAAATAAGTTTCCATGAACCCACGAAGGTTATTTCGTTATTGAGCAGACAAAGGTAGTGATTCGACATCAACTTTTCAATCAGTCACCCACGGGAGTTTGTATCATCACGCTCCCATTGAGGGCTGTGTCCGTTAAAGTCACCGAGCAATATAAATAGAGCTGGCAATTGACGGACTAATTGATACTTGTGACACAGCATCTTTGGGTGGTAAATAAACACACTGTGACTAAAGAATGGATGTGAATCCGTACAGTCACAGTCCCCCTACTAATGTGTGCAGTGTGACGACATTACTGGGATAAAGATGGACATGACATTTTCCGAGTGGCCGTATCGCTGGCATTGAAAGCAATGCAGCGGATTTCGGATGTGTGCACGAACTGGGCAGTGGATGTATACCATTTTTAGGGACTGTTGTAGGTCAGGTGTCGAGTGAGTGAGGGAATATTAACGTCGCACTGTTCATCTACACGAGGGCTTTTGGCGATGGACCACGTAACTTTAAACCATGGTCAAGTGACTTGGACGACACCTGAGCTGGCACCCCTCTCCCAACTACCACACCACACCAACGGGAGGACGTTTCAGCTCTCGACAGGTTTAACGTGCATCGCTGCCCTACACGGTGGGTCTTTAGTGGTACTGGGCTCGAACTCGTGACAAGACAAGCCACGATCCGATACCTATACCACTCGGCTACCACGGCCATAAGGAGGCACTAGAGTACAGTATTAGAGGTTCGGAATGTGATCCACTAGTTCACACCAAGGGCACCCTTATACTAACCCTAAAGCAACCGTTTTTGGGATTCCAACAGAACCCGAGTTAGAATCCCTTAGAACTAATCACTAGCCGATTGACAGGAGAGGGCTCCCTCCTACTCTTGTCTACAGGAAGAATGGGCCAAAGGGCACGCAACAAGAACCCCAGACACCCCTTTCCCCAGTAGAGGTCGCTGCACAGGGCGAAGATGCGGTTCAGACTAAAAAACCAGTCTAGACATTGGCAAAATCGAACAAAATATATTTTTTGAATACCCTAATAAAAATAAATCTAAATTAAAAATGCAGAAAATAATTTAACTTGAAATACTCAAATAAAAGAAACCAAAAAACAGCCCCTAACTGAACTAAAAATAATGTTAAATATTGACTTGTAACTGAAACTCTAATTAAACAAATATTTTTGGGGATTTCCTTTCTTTTCAAATACATGGGGACGTGGCACCAGTAGTCACCCGAAGATGAGCCCCCTGAGAAGAAAAAAGGAAGAAATCAGGTGACAAGAAGAAGGGACGAAAATAGGGAAGGATCACTACGGTATCCGGGGTCGTGACACCCGTGTTTACTAAAGACAGTAAATCCCTTGGGAAAAAGAAAAGTTCACTAGGGTACCTCGGGACTGTGAAACCCGTACTCACTTAAAGAAGATAAGGCCCCTGTGGAGGTCAAATGACGAGGGCGTCAGCTAAACTGGTACCCCTTTCTCTTAACATCCACACCACACCAACGGGAGGATGTTTAAGCCTAGAAAGATAAAACGTGCAGGTATATACGATGCGTTTTTAAAGGAACTAAACGTGTTGCAAGAGAGTTCAGAGGCAAGTGAATGTATGCCACAGAATGTTACTCCGAAAAAATATCCCAGTTGAGAATCAGTTTCTATAAAACAGCAAAATTATGAGATTTTTACAAACATGAAGTATCCAAAATAAGCCAGATATTAATTCGAACTATAATTTAGTCGAGAAAAGGTAAAATGGAGGCGCGGGGTATCGATCCCCGTACCTCTCGCATGCTAAGCGAGCGCTCTACCATCTGAGCTACGCCCCCGGACGACACCTTGATGATTGTAAACAGGCTGCACTTAACTCTAGAACTTGATCGTACAGTAACTAGGTCAATCGAAGGTGTCTCGTGAGACTAGAATCGAGAGAGTAAATGTCGTAGAATGTTTCAATGAAATAGAAATAGTTCGATGGATCGGGTTTGAATCTGAGTGTTCATTGAAGCGCAAAATAATGAGATACGTGTCACTCAGGAGTTTACAAAAAGGAAAGTATATAATACAAATTTAGGCAATCTCAAACAGATATAAATTCAACATATGTTTAGTGTGAAGTAAACGCTAAATGGAGGCACGGGATATCGATCCCTGTACCTCTCGCATGCCGTGCGATCTCTCAATTATCTCAATTATACCCCGCACAGCACTGCTTTTATAGAAATTAAGCACGCATTAACATTTGAACCAAAATGTACTCTGACCAGATTAATTAAAAGTGTATGCGGGTGAGAGAGGAAGAGTTAATTTATCGTCTCACTACAAAAATGCAAGAGGACTTTTTGCCGCGTACCTAGTAATTATGAACCACGGTCAAGTGACGAGGACGTCACCTGAACCCACACCACTCTCTTTTAACATCCACACCACACCAACGAGAGGACGTTTGAGTCTCGACAAATTTATCGTACAGCGCCCCTCTACACCGCGCGTTTCCAGAGGAACTAGACTAGTTGCGGGAGAGTCCAGAGGCAAGTGAATGGATGCCATACAATGTTTCTCCGAAAAATAATGCAGTGTAATGGACCCCAATTGAGAATTACATTTTCTTTAGAACAACAAATTTATAAGATATTTAAAAACATGAAATATCCAAATTAAGCCAGTCTCTCATGGTTATGCCCGTTGTTGTGGTGTGGTAGTTAGGAGAGGGGAGTGCCAGTTCAGGGGTCTTCGTCACTTGACCAAGGTCCAAAATTACGAGGTCCGTCAACAAAAGTCCTTGTGTAGCTGAACAGTGCAACGTTAATATTCACTCACTTCCTCACACATAGATATAAATTCGAACTATAAAATTAAGTCGAGAAAACTTTAAAAGGAGGCGCAGGGTATCCATCCCCGTACCTCTCGCATACTAAGCAAGCGCTCTCGATCCCAGCTATGCCCCTGAACACTACCTCGTTTATTGTAAGCCAACTCGCTCTTTAACACTCAAGCAAGATTCCCCAGTAAATAGGGCGATTCAAAGTTTTGTGTGAGATACTAGAATATCAAGAGATCAGAGATGCCATAGAATGTTTCACAGAAATAGAAATTCAGAGGAACACTCTCATTTGTTTGCGGAATTCCTGTATTTGTGTGACTGAGTTCTTCGTAAAAAAATTTTCGAATTTTCTTTTTCATGTGCATGTTGATTCTACTGTATATTTCATGCTGATTTAAAAACTGTTATTAGTTCTTTAATTCCGCAAATATTTTTTACAGTACAATTTCCTCAAAGGAAGAATATACATCGTGTACACAACAACACGGTATGGTACATCTAAATATGCATCGTAAAATAACCCAAAATCTTACAAATATAGTTCTTTATATTTTATTTATTTATTTATTTATTATTACTTTCAAAATTGCTGGTTTTTTATGTTAGAAAATCAGAGTATTAGGGAGCAGGTGTTTGTCGTAATAACGAACCCGCATCAGTTTCATTAGGAATGCATCCATTTCACAAGAAGTTCTTTCGTCACAAAAAGGTTGCAGTAACTCTCGTCATTTTTGAAAAATTTTCTTCGAAATATCATAAGCAGCTTTTTTTCCCCACAAGTTTTGTATAGCTTTCGGATTCTAACACTGTCCTGTTCCCTTCCTTCTTTTCACAATACCGACTTGAAATCTTTTCTAGGCTACCTTTGCATTGAGAGATGCTGCATTTTTCCAGGAATATTTTCATAAATGTTTCACCAAAAGATCTCCCACTGATGGCAGCAATTTATAAACGCATTAGAAAAAATATGTAAAATACTACGACACCGATCAGTACGCCACGTGAAAGTATTTCATTACGATACCGATGCACAGTCAATTTGATTACAATATTTATTTAAAAAAGTTTTAGGGGAAAAAACGTTAAATGTGGAGGCGCGGGGTACCCCGTACCTCTCGCATGCTAAGCGAGCGCTCTACCATCTGAGCTACGCCCCCGGACAACACCTTATTTATTGTAAACAAGCAAGACTCAACGCTTGCGAACTTTATCGTATATTAACTAGGTCAGTCGAAGGTGTCGCGTAAGACTAGAATCGAAAGAGTAAATGCCTTAGAATATTTCAGTGATGTAGAAATAGTTCGATGGATCGGGCTTGAATCAGAGTGTTCATTAAATTCTGAGATACTCGCCACTGAGGAGTTTACAAAAAGGAAAGCATTATGCAAATTTAGGCAATCTCAAACAGATATAAATTCAACATATGTTTTAGTGCGAAGTATACGTTAAATGAAAGAGCGAGGAGTATCGATGTATAATATAGTATATAATGTATAATAATGTGTAATAATGTATATATATAGTGTAATGGATCCCAGTTAAGAATCAGTTTCTTTAGAACAGCAAAATTGTGACATTTTTACAAACATGAAATACCTAAAAAAAACTAGTCGCACATAGATATTAATTCGAACTATAATTTAGAGGAGCAGGGTATCGATCCCCGTACCTCTAGCATACCAAGCAAATACTCTACCATCTCAGCTACGGCCTTGGACACAACCACCATATTATAAGCTCAACTAACACTCAAACAAGATCGCACAGCAGTGGCCCACACAAGGGTGGGGGTTCCTCAAGTTCGGAGCCCCCTACCAAAAAGCTAGATTTTTTTTCCCCGTTGATTATGATACGCATAATTTAAATGAGTATTTGTTTCGATTATTATTTTTATTAATTAATGTTAATTATTAATTAAATAATTGATTTTTTTCGATATTTTGTTCCCGAAAATCAACAAAATCAAAATAATATGTTGGACGGCGAATTGGAGCATGATACGAAAACGGAGGACTTTTGACACGCGCCGCCGCCCCCCCCCCCTGAAAAATTCATGTATGCGCGATTACTGTTACACAATAAATAGGGAGACTTAAAGTGTTGTGTGAAATTTACTAGAATAAAGAGAGGAGATGCCCATAGAATGTTTCACAAAAATAGAAATACAGGCAGACGCTGATAATTGTCATTTGTTTGCGGAATTCCTGTGTTTGTCTTAGTTCTCTCTCCTCGAAATGAAATTTTCATATTTTCTTTTCCATGAGGTTGTTGATTCTACTGTATATTCTCATTCTGATTTAAAAATAGTAGTTTGTTTTTTAAAGCCGCAAGTATTTTTTTTGCAGTACAATTTCCTCAAAAGAAGAATGTGTATCGTATAAACCCGCATTACAGTGTGGCATATCAAAACATACGTTTTAGAAAAACGCAAACACTCACAAATACAGCTATTTTAATATGTATTTTAAAAATTGCTGGGCTTTTCATCTTCGAAATTCAGAGAGTCGTATGGACCAGACTTTTGTTGTAATAACGACCCCACATCATTTTCTCAAGGAATAAGCCCATTTTACGAGAAGTCTTTCGTCACCAAAGGATTGCTGCATTTAATCTCGCTTGTTGAAAACTGCTGCTTTTTTTCCATAAGTTCTGCTTCGTTTTCGGATCTAAACCCTGTCCTGCTTAGTTCGTCCTATTCAAAATATCGACTTGAGAACTTTTCTGGACCACCTTTGCACTGTGAGATGCTGCATTTCCGACCAGAGAGAGAAATCAGTTTTACCATAAGTTCTACCACAAATGGCAGCAATTTATTTATGTATTAGATAAAATAATTTGTCATTGATCAGTACATCAAGTGAAAGTATTCCATCATGATTCAGATGAAGTGAATTTTATTAGATTATTTTTTAAAAATGTTTTAGTACAAAAAACGTTAAATGTAGGCGCGGGGTATCGATCCCCGTACCTCTCGCATGTTAAACGAGCTACTACTACTACCATCTGAGCTACGCCCCCGTCCGACGCCTTGATGATTGTAAACAATCTGGCCATAATGCTTGTACTTGAATGTACAGTAACTAGTTTAATCGAAGGTGTCGCGTGAGACTAGAATTGAGAGATTAAATGTCATAGAATATATCAGTGAAATAGAAATATTTCGATGGATTAGTCTTAAATCTGAGTATTCA